AGGAATAGATGAGAATAGATAGAATATAAAATAGATAGAAAGAGAGATAGATAGAAAAACAGAAAGATAACAGATAGATGAAGGAAATAAAAAACAGATAGTCTTGATGGATGGGAAGAAAGCAAGACTTAAAAGAGAAGAAAAATGACGATGAAAAAAGAATCATAAAAAAAACAAACAATTTTCAAAAAGAATGAAAATGGAATTTTTTATTATGATAGTAATCACAAATAGATGGATGATAGATATGTATTTAAATGGATTTTTAGATAGAAAATAGATAGATAGATAGATAGATAGATAGAATAGAAAAAATGGAATAAATTTTGATAGATAGATCAGATAGATAGATAGATAGATATATAATATACAATAGATAGATATCGAACAATCTTAGATGAAATAGATAGATAGATGATAGATAGATAGATAGATATTGCAACAACTTTTAGATAGATAGATAATAAATTTTAGAAAGATATATGAAAGATAGATAGATAGATAAATGAAATTTTTAAACTCTTTTAGATTAAATAGAAAAATAGAAAATGGAACAAAATTGACAGACATAGAGAAATAAATAGATAGATAAATAGATAAATAGATTAAAAATGGAAAATTTATGATAGATAGATGAAAGATAAAAAGAAATATAGATATATAGATAAAATATTTTAATATAGATGGATAGATAAATATAGATGGATAGAAAATAAATAGAAAGATAGAAAGATAGATAAAAGATAGATCAAGATAGATAGATAATGAATTAAATTGGGATAGATAGATAGATAATGGATTCCAGATTGAGGAAGATGATAGATATGAATTTCTTAGATAGAAGATAAATAGATGGATAGATAGATAGATGGATAGATAGATGGATTACAAGATATATAGATAAATAGATAGATTTTTAGATAGATAGAAAGATGATATGGAACAATCTTAGATAGATAGATAGATAGAGATGAAAAAGATAGATGGATATCAAATATCTAGATAGAGATAGATAGATAGATATATATATATATAGATAGATAGATGAATAGATAATTTTCTAGATAGATAGATAGATGAATATATTGAACAATGAAATGATAGATTTTCTTGATAGATGGATCAGATAGATGGATAGATAGATATGAATTTTTAGAAGATAGATAGATAGATAATATAGATGGATTTCAAAATAGATAGATAGATTTATATAGATGAATATACAATCTTAGATAGATATAGATAGATAGATCCCCAAATAAATAAAACAGATGGGATAGATATAATGGATAGATAGATAGATAGATAGATAAGATAATGGATTGAGAGAAATGGAAAAAATGAAGAAAAGAAAAGAAAGAAAGAAACAGAATGATTGAGAAAATCATCAGAAAAGAAAAGAAAAGATAAAGGAAAAAAAAAAAAAAACTTGATCTATTCGAAAGAAAGAAAAAATGAAGATTTAAAACAAAAATGACAAAGAAAAAATTAAAAAAATTAAATGATTTTTCTTGTATTTCAAAGTTAAATAAATAAGAAAAAATAAAAAGACAGTCAAGAAAGAGAAGACGAAGAAGATAGTAAGATATAAACAGACTGGGGTAGAATAGAATTTTATAGGTAAGCTTTTTTCATATGGAACATTAGTGTAGCATAATATTAACACAAACCTTATTGGCATTCTGCCATCCTCAACTATGCTTAGTTATTATTATATATAGAAAATATACATGGATATGGTAGATAATGTAGATTAGGTAAAGTTAGGAAGATAGATAGATAGATAGATAGATAGATAGATAGATAGATAGATAGATAGATATTAGAGTTGAGAGAAAATAGAGTCACATCTGAGAGATAGATAGATATAGAGAAATAAAGTGAAAGAGATAGCAATAAATAGAGAGAGAGAGAGAGAGAGAGGGTGTGAAGAGAGATTGTTGTGTGTTGAAAGGAAACAATATATGAGAGGGAAAATTTCTTTTATTTGAAATATCAGAATTCTGAGAAAAGTAAGAAAACAGACATTTAGAAAAATAAAAAAAAAATTTTACAAAATAAGAGAATCAAAAGGCGAAAAAAAGTGAGATAAAAGAAAACAAAGTCAGTGTGAATAATAATAATAATAATAATAATAATAATAATAATAATAAAATTAGAAGATTTATCAAAATTTAGACATATAAGAACTGAACAAACAGAAATTCTCTGTAATTGAAAAGGAAAATAAAACTGAGGTTTTTGGAAAAAACATCTGAGACTAGATACGAAATGTTTCTAAGGCAGCTTTATTTTAAAAAAGCTTGGCTTAATGTAAGAAATATAATCTTCTCTGGTCAAATCTTTAACAACCCCAAAATTAAAAAAACAAATGACCAAATTCGCACACGACAAAATCATTTACATTATGAAAATCTTTAAACCATCGCCTGTAGGCGAACGACAAAAATTGCGGCGGCGTGAATGTTTGAAACGGTCTAAAAAATATTTTTTGATTTTTGCATATTTTTGCGTGACAGGCGATATATATTTCATAAGCTAGACTTATAAGGGGCCACTATAAATATAGAGGACAAACATTCTTTACCAATTTTCTTTGTTAAAAAACCTTCGCTCAGTATTTCTTTTTGTGATAGCTTCTTATCGCCTTAATTATTCAGCTTCTTCTTTAATTATTTCTTTAGTTTCTCATTTTCATGCGACCGCTAAATAGTGAAACCACAGGTAAGAGTTCAAATAAGTACAATTCGAAACGTTCGTAAATTTTAAAGAAAAAAGAATTATTCAATACAAAACACACCATATTATTTATTTTAGGATATTACCCCGAAAACCTATCAAAATCACTACACAATTGCAGTCGTGTTTCGATGCGTATCAATGTATCTCATCAGAAGATTGTAAATTAGTGGCGAGTGAACGATTTATTTAGATTTAAAAGCAAAATACAACCTCTTTTTTCTGAAAAAAATTGATATAATAAAAATGATATTATAATTTTATAGCGATGTATTATCCCAAAATATATATTATTTAAATTGTTCGGACTGTTTTCCTCATCTTTGTCGCCATATTTATTAGAATGTTTCTTTAGGAAAATAACATATATATAATGATAACTGACATCCATTAAACATGGAATGTGGAACTAGAAACATTCTACCCCAGTGAGCGAAATAAAGAATTTGTTTGACATTCCAACCACCTGAAAATATGTGGATAACAACTTGGCCGAAACGTTTTAATAAAGATGGTGAAAAAGATGAGGACAATAGTCCAAAATAAAATAAATAATGTACATACATTCACACACACAAAATATTTATAGATATATATATATATATATATATATATATATATATATATATATATATATATATATATATATATATATATAAGCAAATATATGGATATAGATCCGACAGAATGAAGAAAAATATACAGAAAAAAACAAACAAAAATCTTAATATATAATTATGCTGTATTAATGTTAATATAAAGTCAACGTCGGACGTTTCGGTCTATTTTAGACCATCTTCAGGACATATTCATAAAACATAATTAACATTAGAACATATAAAATTCAACATGAAAAGACGATGGACATAAGAGCACAACTAATCCAAACAGATAACTGAAATTTTTATATAAGATCAGCGTTCCGTTTAAATATGATCACGTCGTCGTCACGTGGGCGATGTTGTGAAAACGTATTCGAAGATTATTTTGAATGAAAAATATTAAAATATTAAAAAATTCGATTGAACTATTTTTCATATAAACAGTTCGTCAATAAATCACTTCCGTTGATGTAGGAATACGCAGAGATCAATAGGTTCTTATAGTTCCATACAAGCTTGAAGTTTTCCATGTTACAAAGTAAATCAAAAATGATTTCAAAATATTAGACAGGCACGATGGAACAATTTTAAAACAGTTCGTTAATAAATCCTTTCCTTACTTACAGGAATAGGCTGAGATCAATAGATCCTTATATTTTCGTACAAGCTTGAAGTCTTCCATGTTATAAAGTAAATTCAGGTTTGTATTTCCAGTAGACAGTATGTAAGCAAATATATATATATATATATATATATATATATATATATATATATATATATATATGTGTGTGTGTGTGTGTGTGTGTGTGTGTGTGTGTGTGTCTATTTCCGCAATGTCTGGTGAATATGGAAGCTGAATGAAAACTTTTCAGCAAAGTTGTAACTACGTTTAGATACTTACCAAAGAAAAGCGTGATCTAGTAACACCCTGAGGCAATAATACGCTGTTTCTTTTAATATACCAAATGAGTTTCGTTGACTGCTTCTATGAATTGAGCTAATTGGAGGGGGCACTGTACAATTTAAGGATATGGATTCAGAAAGAGAAATTACAGGCGAAGAAAGTACAATCAAGGTTGCTAGTTCAATATCCCGTTGTTGCTTTTTACTCTTCTACAAACGTCTTTGAAAAAGGAACAAATTCTTGGCTTTGCTCCGTCCCAGCACTTAATCTAATTAGTAATAGTTTTAAATTCTCCGAATTTCATCGATAAAGCATTGGCAATTTTTTTTTTTTATTCGTATTTCTTTCTCTTTTTGTTTTGCACTCACATCTCGTTAAAGCATTGGTTGCCGTACGATCATCAAAGTTAAGCAATGTCGAGACTGATCAGTATTTAGATGGGCGAACTCTTGAGAATACAAGGTTCTGTAAGCTTGCATGTGCGGGTGATGTAATGAATAATGCCTTGGAATTGTGAATCAGAGCTGAAATCTACTTCCCGTCCGTTATATTCACTTGCGCGCAAGTACCCTTGGGGAAGGTATGGATTCACCTTCTCTCCCACCCCCCGTTATGAGTTAATTAGTAAGACTTGTATCACAAACCCATTATTTATCTCCAAAAATATTATTAAAATTAAAAAAAAAGTTTTTAAATAACATGCCAAGGATAGATAAACCGTAAAATATGAATGAATGAATCTATCAATCGTTAACTTAAGTTTTCTGAATTTCTTAGATAATGTATTCCTATTTATTTTGAATATTTTTATCAAAATTTTAGTTCTTCTTATTATTTCATCTCATCTACACGAATCCTGTATCGAAACAGTTGCCATGGTAACGGAGCAAAAGTATGCAGAGTGAGTGAAGTCGTTCGTACCCATATTGACCTTGAACACTCTCACATATACACATTAATTTTTAAGATGTTCGCTCACTTCTGTCTTTTATAGCATTACTTGGAAGGCAAGTGTGTAGAGTGTGGTCATCTCATCAAAGTAACAAAGATTCAATCAGTGACATGTGCAGCAGTTTTTCGCTAAGAACAACATTCCCCACATCCGACAACCACCATATACCCCAGATATTACTCTTGCGACTTTTTCTTCTTCAAAAATCAAATCACGCTTGAAATGAACAAGATGTCGAGGTAATCGAAGAGAAAGCTGCTCGTTATCCCTAAAAAATGTTCCAAGAATGTATCTATTAATGGAAATGACGATGGATATAGTGTATGGCTTCAGAAGTTTTTACTTCGAAGGAGATTAAATGCCGAATTGATATATGTTGTAGTTTTCTTTTAATAGTACCAGTCTCGAAAGTTTTAGATCAGACCTTGTACTTTGCTTTATTATACAGTAACGTTCTGCCTCTACAAAACCTGGGAGCAATCGAGGTAGAGGGTTACGTTAAGGGATGTTTTATATTTTATAAGAGGGGAAGATAACGGTTAAACAGATTAAGATTGTTGTGATCTAGGAATCATTGCCTTGGGAATCTGTTCCACAGTCCAGTGGTTCGGAGGAAGAAAATGTTTGAGCGGAACTTATTTCTCGTCGATGGAATTCATAGGAAATGTGTGTGGTTGCCGTACGATCATCAAAGTTAAGCATGGCATGACGGGTCCTACCCGTGAAGGTTAGACCTAGCGGTACCAATAAATCTAGTTCGTCCGAGCAACTGCCATGGTAGTAACGATAGAACAGTGACAGGCTCGCCACATCCCGCTTGAAAGATAGAGGTTAGAGTGTGGAAAATAATTCTTCTCAGACAAAGACTCAGAGACCCTCTTGAGCTGTATCAAGACTGGAATGTGAGGACTGAGCACCTCCCGCCCGAATATGTCAAGTGTACTCCATTGTCGGCCTGATCTGGCTTTTATAACGGTAAAGGATAGTATAAGTCAGGCACTTACTGGGGCGGTAGAGAGAGCCGATCATTTTATCTGCATCTTTAGCGATGGATTATAAAAGTTGCACTTGAGGTCGGGTGTAAGTTTGAGGCCCAATATTCTATCAAGGCAAGATGAATCCTCGAGGAGACAGCCGTTCATTCGGACTGGCGGTAGTTCAGGGTCTGAACAATAAGTATCAATTATTGGCGGGATGAGGCGTTGAGATGAAAATCTAAATTATGACGAACAATTAATATAAAAAAAGTAATAGTAATTTGCCAGGCTCAATCCAAGAATATTATATCTGACAGTTTCAACTAACTTACATTAAGTAAATCTTTATGACGTTTCTTCTCTCCTCATTCCCCGAAGTTTTACGAACGTGAATAACGCGACTTAAATAAGTGGCGATAGCATTCAAAGGATGTCAGTAAAAATGTTTTATCAGCATCCATCGTAATCTTTTGTCTATTAAATTAAAATAGCGGTAAACGTGACTAAGAAAAAATGAAAAGAAAAAACAGCTTCCGAATTTGAAAATCTTGAATTGTAGGAAACAAGTACTTTGATGTATAAGTGTGAAAAGCGTCGAATATACTATAGCGACATTTTTGTCGAGTGAATTCGATAACAGAAAAAGATCTTTTTTTAAAGCCTGTTAAGGAAACGCTTTTTACACATATCTCAAATAACAGTAGACTATCCAATTATTATTATTATTATTATTATTATTATTATTATACAGATATATATATATATATTATAATTATTTTTAAAAAATGTGATTCCTTCGCTACCCAAGAGTTCTCATGTTTCAAAAACAAGAGCTAAAAACTTCAATATAATTATTTGAATTAAATTGAATTAAAGTATCAAGCTCTGTTTCATCTTCAAGCGAAATTTTTGAAATGACTAATCTTGAAATTTACGCGTCTTTCTAAGCATAGTCATTCGTAGAATTACTATGGAAACGGCTAGTGCAGTTATTTAAATAAGAGTCAAGGGTTAAAAATTTGTTATTATATAATTTCTATATATTTACACATACACACACAGACAAACACACACACACACACACACACACACACACAACACACACACACACACACACACACACACATATATATATATATATATATATATATATATATATATATAACCTAGATAATTATCTAGATTATCTATTGTTTACTCGTGTCGGGGTTTTTTTGGGGGGGCTTTAAACCTGTATCTGTGCGATTTTTTC